AGTCCTTTGGTCGCCTATTTCAGAATCCAGAACGCGAACGCAAAACAAAATCAATTTACTTGGCTCGAGAGAAAATTGTCCCATCATCTCTTTCACGGCAATCTGTTCTCGCCTTTGGTTTCATTACTAAATCAATAACGTGAATATTATATGCCGCAACGCTGACAGCGCAGAACGAAACACGTAAACACGTATTTATAATATGTGCGCACAAATATGTATACAGACGAAAAAAGTTGCGGAATGTCCGTGGACGGATTTTTTATTCGCGAGCGCCGGGAAGGGATTCCTTTGACAATACTCTCTCTGGCATTTAAAGGTTGAAATAAACCATATTTTCTCTATTCGTCTGTCCATCTATTTGCCATTACTTTTTATATTCTGTGACAGCATTTGGTTTTTTTAATTGCACCTATCCCATTATGGAACATCAGTAAATTTTTGGTAGTACTTAGAATGCCTAAATGGAATGCCAATCTAGCGATTGGATAACCGGGATTACATAAGTTAGTTACATAAAATGTTTGTTTACATAATTAATTTTTCTGTTTCATCACTCTCTAGGCATAATATTTTTTATATATACATATTTGCACTTATTTTATCATGAAACTTCAGCAGATTTTTTGGTAGTGCGCCTATTCCTTTATAGAACATCAAATTGCAAAGTTTTGGTAGGACTTAAAATGTCTAAATCGAATGCGAATCCAGCGATTGGATGGCCGAGTAGGAACAATTGTTAGTTACATAAAATATTTTCTGCATAAATAATTTTTGTGTTTCATCACAGTAGAAGTATTTCTTTTTCTTTTATATATTTGCACCCATTTCATCCTAAAACTTCAGCAACTTTTTGGTAGTACTTTAAATGTATAAATCGGATCCAATCCATTGATTGTGCGTCAGGGTATGATGGTAGAAGTAATCATTTGTTCCGAACAAATGTTTTGTTAATTCTACGCTCATTTCAAATACGAGACTCGCCCATGAATTAGTGGTTTGATATCTGCCTCGACAGCTTGATGTCAAGCAGTAATGACATAGGTTTTTGCATGGAAATACAGATAGAACTGTTTCCAAGTGAAAATAGCTTTAGCTCGACATTGCTGCTTTAATTAAACGTTTATTAGTATTACAGAGATTGTTATAATAAAATTTATCATATAAGGATAAAAAAAACTGTTTGGGTTGCCATAGAAAAAAGTTAATTAGGTAAAAAACGAGATCAAGTTCTAATCGCTACTCATAAAAAAATACAAATATGAAAAATATACAAATACACCAGAGTTTTATTATTGTAATCAACTTAATCAAACATCATCGACTACAGTGCTTTAAGAGCAAGCAAATATAAGATGCTATTTTGCAATTATTTTAATCCATTTATGATATTTTCTTTCTAGTTTTAATCATTTTGTAACTACATGCCTTCGTCATAATTATAATGTAAATACCATTACAATGTGTTTTACTTACTACTAAGAAAAACTTTTAAAATCTGTTTTCGAAACGTTAAGTAATTTTAAATAATCTTTTATTCTCGGAATTGCTGCATTAAGTTAAATTTACATATACATATACTATACAAATTTATACTCTTATACAAATTGTAATAAAAATTATATCAAATATATATAAGACGACTGTGAGACAACCATTACAAAATAGGTATACAGCACATAGGAGTCTTAAGTAAATCAAATTAAAAAATCCAATTTTGGTGTATTTTAAATTTTTTTTATAATTTTTACAGCAATCGGAACCTTACGTCCTATTAGCTTTTGGGCTGCAACTTCTCCTTACGTCGTATTTTTAGATGGCACCCAACGGTTGATCTATCCATATTTGTTTATTTTATCATTATAATTTATCTAATTGGACTGACTTATTCAATTTGATGCAGCAATGCTCCGAGAAGGTTATTTTGACGTTGTTCACTGTTTGACCATCCGGTTCGAATGGACCAAAAATATGTTGTGACAAGTTAGTTTGCAAAAATGTATAGAAGTTCGTGATCCACCGAGATGCTGCCGAACTCTATTAAATACACTTGCACTTTATTTATATTGTCGAAGGACCAGATATATTTAGATAGTGGCTATATCAGACCGATTAAAAGATGATAAATAAATGTTTAATTGTTGTATATTTGAAATATTAAGACTTATAGATGATGTTACTTAGTAGAAGTTTGAATTAGTACTGACGTTTTTAGATGAAAATTTTGATTTGAGTAAATTATAAAGATTTTACAATTTTATATGATTTTTCTGATTGGCTCGTTTTTGTGGGTTCAAGCGGTGATTTCATGATACGTGGAATTCGATCGTGATCAGGTGATTGGAATTTCTCAGAAAAATGGATTTTGGTATGATGATAGATTTAGGGACAGAATGCATGACAATGAGAGGGATTATTTAATGGTTCTACATTATATAATAAGGGACGAGGGTTTATTATTGCTATCCTCTATGAAGGTAATAAAATAGAATAATATTTTTCCGTTAAACTAGGTTTGAGTAAGGCGTTAATAGACTTGTAAATATATTAAGATCTATATTTTCAAGTGAAAATATTTGAAATTTATTCCTTTGGGTTATTAATACATATAATCTGGTGTTTAGTTAATGCGAGCAAATCAGATGTATACATTATGCACTAATCTTGCATTCAGTTTTATTGCTGGAAACCAGTAAATATAACTAAAATTAATTATTTGCATTAATTAAACATCTAACGCGAGTTCCCACTATAATCTCATGGAAACAGGCGCCTACGTTCGGGTTGTAAATTGCAGTATTGGTGTTTCACATTTGGTGAATAGATTCTACCAAAGTTTAATTTTCCCCCGTAAAATTTTATTTGCACATTGCGATTTTTACTTCCAAATTATATGATGAATAATATTTCATGTATGAATGCAATTTAATTTCATAGTGCCCGCACATTTTCATGTAATAACGGATACGAGGATATTAAAATGCCTGGATTGTTTATGAAGCGTTGAAAGCATTTTAGGTCAAAATGAGCCTAAGGTTATAGAACGGTCGGAAGCCTTATAAAGGTCGAATTATTGAGACAGAACCCTTTAATATACCCATTGTTTCAAAATTCGCAACGGCAATCTGTGGCTGTTTTAAATGTGATGCCGTTAATCGGCTCAAATGTTGTTGTTTTATCAAAACAATGTATTTAGGGGAATTAATGTAGGAGGATGGAAAACAACAATTTTATAATTACATGAATAAAACATTTTTTTGTGAATTTAATTATTTTGTGATTTTGAAGCTGTTTTGGTTCTATTAACATACAGGCAGTTATATTTATTTTTTAAATTCACATATCATCTAAATGAATTTAACATTTTAATATAAGGTGTTTTTAAGAGTACTGTCTTCAAACTATTCACTTTTTTTTAAAAATATATTTGTTATTATGTATTCATCATATAAGTGACATTCCTTTTATGTCTCTGTTCATCAATGGATTTAGTGATATGCTCTACAAATCAATAATTGTACTAAAATTAATTTTAATAGTATTATAGAGATAATCTCATTATTAGCGAATAACCTCATAATTCTATGTGAATAAGCATTATAGAATGATATATCAATAATGGGCTGTTAATAAGTTTTGAACAGTTTCATCACTTTGTAGTGTGCGGCAAAATTTTATTAAATTATATATAATATATTTTATGAAATAGTATATAAATCAGCGCTAAGCTGAAACAGGGTTGTAGTATTTATCATAACTATCATGAAAAAAATTTGAAAAGAATTTTTCTCATGTAGTTTGAAATTTATGAGCTTTAAAGTGCAACCTAGAGCTTTATTCAAACTTTGACAATTTTTAAGTTATTGTGGTTAATTTTTATTAATTTTGTCTATTTAAGCTTTGGAACCGTAACTGTAAACAACCGTTCTAGGACTACAAAAGATAATGACACAATTGTTTTATAATTAAGACTACTAAAAAGTGAATTTAAATTTTTCAAAATTGGTTGACATTGAAAGACCTTTTTTTAAAAAAAATGTACTAAATAGTGTTGAAAAATTACATGAAAAATTGGCGCACTATATCAGGATTGCAAAATGGTAAAATACAAAGGTTTTCATTATAAAATCATTTAAATAAAAATCTATAAATAAAGCGATTATGCTCATATTCTGTTCAAATGTTTTTGTCTCGCATTAAAAAAAAAACAAGTAATTTTTAGAATTACTCTAATTATTATATTGAAAACCTACATTGAATGTATTTTACAATTTTACAATTATGGTATAAGACGCCAAACTTTTGATGGAACTTGCCAATACACACTTAAATACATTTTCTAAAGGTGGTTCTATCAAAATCGACTGATATAGAAAATTTTGAATTAAGTCTAACAAATAGTACTAATTCTAGAAAACACGACGAAATTGTCATTGTTTTTGAATGTTTTCTTAAAAATGTTACTTACGGTTACGATTATAAACAAAAATAATAAAAATTAACCAAAATAACAAAAAATTAGTAACAGTTTCATCAAAGATCTGAGTTGTACTCAAATGATCATAATTTTCGGAAAACAGGAATATCTTTTTTGATTTTTTTTCATAACAGTTCCGATTACTACTATCACCTCATTTAAACGTGACGTTGAGTTTTGGGACACTCTGTATATAAGTAAAATTTATAATGCTATGTTAATTTTAAGCGATAATTTTATTTATACTCTCTATATTTTTGAGACATATTTGTTATTACAATAATGCAAGTAATAATCATACACAACATAGGTATATCATGTGCATGCATATAGTACTCTTATCAAAATCGTACGTTGTGCAATCGGACATCCATTATTCGAAATCGATTATAAATCCATTATCCCTTCGTCGTTGGTTTGGTGTTCTACGTTCAACGTTGGTCGGGTGTTATTTGCCGCAATTGTTTGCGTCAAATCTCGGTGCACGTGTTGTTCTTGTTTTTCTGAAATCGTGCTGATGCAGGTACTCGGAAGGCATGCGTGCCGGCGGAAGGCGACGCTCGAGCGGACGCGGAGGCACGCGTCGCTACACGCACACGGCGCGGCCGCTGATCGCCGACAGGAGGCGCACAACCGGAAGGTATTCGAGAGGAAATTATTGGAAAAATTATGAATAAAAAATATTCAGAGAAATACGTATATATATATATATATATATATATATATTTATATATCTTGAATATTGAATTTCAACCAATCGTCGAAATAAAAGAAAACAAAAAAATAAAAATATTTATTTGTAATGTACGTTTCGACACGGATTGTGTGTCATCATTCAGAAAATTTTGTTAATCAGTATCTAAACAGTGAACATAACATATTTGTTCACTTAATGTTATTTTCTATATTTATTTTATATATATTGTATGTATAGTTTATTTTCTATATGTCATTATCAAAAAAATTGTTTTTCCTGGTGTGGTATGTATATCTTTTATTCTTTAATTATTTTAAATATAAATTTAAATTTATTTTTTAAATTATGTAAATATTCTTTCAGATACTGATTAACCAAATTTGCAAGCAGTTTTTAGCAGGTGTTCAAATTTTGTCATTTTTTAAGAATTTTTTTAAGAAATTTTGACACGCTATTTAGGAACCACGTGTTTGTTTTGTTCGGGGCCGTACTGTCGAAGCGTTTGTTTATGACCCTGTCGTTATGCAATTGCAAAAACAACCCCTCAGCGAATCTTCTTTCAATTACGTTCTCTTCAAAATGTAAATTTTTTGTGTTGAAAGACTCTATATTACGATTTAAATTTTTAATATGCTCGGTTAACATCGTCTTAAATTGTTTGAGATTTTTTGAGTTATTTTTATGTTGAACAATTATGTCCAAATATGTTGTCTGTTTGGCCGGGACATTCCCGGATTTCCACTTTGTGTCTCGCGTTTTTCTAAAAGAAATATTTGTCCCGGATTTAGATTTTTTGTCCCGGATTGTCCCGAGTTTTCGAAAAGTATAGATCTATATTGAATCTTCGCTCTCACTTGATAATGAAATTACAACTACTCATTAAATATCTGAAAATTTTATACAACTAGTATAGCTTATATGAAAAGTAGTAGTAGCTTATATGAAAAAGGCGAGTTAAAATAGCCTTGCACATTCATAATTTTGAACTTATATTTTCAATTTTCCGAAAATTAACAAATATTGTTATTTTAAATATTGTATTGCTAATTATTTTTAAATAATTATGAACAAAATTGAACAAAATTTTGAGTTTGGAAGCTGAAAAACTATATAGTTTCCAAAATATGAGATAAAATATAACATATAATCGAATTATAATTATAATTAAGTTCTTAGTCAGTAAAATCAGATTAAAAAAAACTCGTTTAGAAAAGACGGATTTTTATTGCATTCTTACAGTATTTGTTATTTTAAAATAATGTAATATTTTTCTGCGTTCAATCTCTATCATAAAACAGTAACTACTGTCAAAATGCTATGTGGTTGCTCTGAAGTCAGGAGTTTTAGACTTTTAGAAAAGAACTAACCTAGAAAACGCACAAACGACAAAAAAAATCTTATCACAAGTGCATCTTTGTGATGTGGCAAAAAACATATGAGTGAAGTTGTATTTCATGTGTAAAACGCTTGACTGCACAGCAAATACATAGCATTTGACAGTTTTTAGTACCATTTTATATGCAAAACGCTACGTAACATAGCGTTGCCATGACATTGGGATATTTTGCGGCAAAAGAATTTATGCTTTCTTATAGTCTAAAATATCATAGTTAAACATCAAGACATAGTAACTTTAATCCAACTGAAACTATCTACAAAATAGTCTACAATCATAATTTTAATTATTATAACAAAATTTAATATCTTCTCTTATTTGCATTTGTTTCGTTTGATGCACCGTGAACTAAATAGTAAAATAAATTTGATTTTAATTTCGAGCGTAATTCATTTAAATTATCGCTTTGTTAAAGTTTAAAATCCTCATTGTCGTGAATGTTTTATGCTTTTATATAAAAACAATTTTCCGCATATTTAGTTAAATTCAATAAAAGATTTATCTGATTCAATTGTATTGTAAATAAATTTGGTAAATAATCCATCTGATACATTGTTTTCAGATTATTCAAAATATTTGCCTTTGTTTTGCTTTATCGTATTTTTAAATATTAAATATTTAGTCAGTCATTTTTCAATCAATTAAAGCTTGTGAAATATTTATAAAATGTTAAAAAACAAAATTAAAACAAAACACAAATTATTTTTTGTACTAGTGTGAGTGAATTAATTAATTATATGCGAAATTACAGATTTATCTTGACCTTATTTTCACAGCAAGTACCTTTAGCATATTAATAATTTACATATTTTTGTTAATATTTTTTTAAATCCAAAAATAAGTTTATAGCTATTATTGTTCTGTGAAAAATCGAATGAATCATGTATTTTTTAAATATTATTTATTCAAATTAATCGCGTTTGTTAAAAAAAATTATGGACAATACTACAGAATAATTTAAACTTTATATTTACAATCTTCGTGAACACAATCTTATATTGAATGTTAATTTAATATTTTTATAATCAAAAAATAATTTATTTTCATATGAAAGCTAATTCAAATATTTTTTGTATTCAAAGAGGCTAATATAATATAGTATTACAAATACTGTTATCATCGAAATATACTTGGAAAAGACATAATTTAAATTCAGAAAGGAGAACTTTACTATTACTCCATTTGTAAGATACTTCTGCAATCTATTGTTATATACTCAATTTTAGTAAATACAAAAAATAATATTCACATCAAAAACATAATAGAACTTTGCTAAAAAAAATAAAAATAAATTATTGCAAAATATTGATATGAGCATTACTATAATTATAAATAATTTTAATCTACTTATTTGTAATTGATGACGTATAAGCAAAGATAAGATTAAAATTACTGGCAATTATAAAAAATCTAACTAGCACTTATAGATTATTTTCTATCATGTGTGAATGAATGTATAATATTTATGACGTATATATGTTTGAAATATGTACTCTATATATGCTTTAAATCATTTTGCGATTAACTTAAAATGAATTATTATTAATAACGATAAAATTTTACAACGTAATGAAATTTGTTAAATTTATTTGACTCATGAATAATTAATATTCTTCTGGCTATAATTTATATCTGAAATTAATTAATTTGGTGGCTGGCTTTGATGAATTTATGTTATCATAACTGACCATAAAATCGTTTTTTAGAGGCCTCGTTATGTTAACGTTTACATTTGTAATTATATTTTTATTTTAAACATAAGCTGCGGTATTCATTATTTGTTTATGTGGCAAGATTAAATTTTATATATATATATATATATATATATATATATATATATATATATATATATATATATAATATATATTCGTTCATAGTATCTGTTTTTAATCATTTTTTACATTACGATCTATACTTTTCATAAATGCAATGTATAACATTTACTATCATAGTATTTTATGATACTATACTATAATAATCAAATACCATTTATTTTATTTCTGAATAGAATAAGAACAAAGGTCATAGTTTAATGGGATTAAATCGATACATAAATTTAATTATTTGTATTTTCGAAGTTTTGTATCTGGCATTACTACACTATCAATTTATGCGTATTTATCAATCTATGTTTTTTGCATTTATTTTTATACAAAACTATAAATTATATGATAAAATCAATGATACTCACATATTTAAAAGCTGTTTGTAATATTACCAAGTTATTAATCTGTATCAATTACATATTAATTAAGCAATAGTATAATCAAATCTATTTTATTAAAAGATGCTGACCTAAAATAATAGTGATGATATAATACACATTGTATTTGTAATAAAATTTTATTATGAACATATTGCAGATTTAATTTATGATGTCGGTGCAAAAGTCAAAGATAAAATGACAGCATTTTGATAAATATCTTTTGATTATTTTATTTGATGAGTCGATTTACTTGAACAATTGCATATAATATAAATTAATAATTATTCAATGTTTATAATCTGTAGTTATGAACTCAATGAAGTTATCGAAACAATTTTTATATTATCAATATTTTTTATTATGACTACTTTTTATTACCGACATTTTTTTGGCCTCGTTAGATTATCATCCAAATAATTTATTTAATATATTATTATGCAATTCAAAGTTCTACTATTCGTTATTTTTTATCTATTGAAATTTTACTTATTTTTTGGAAAATTTTATTACAAATGACTTTACATACAGAGTTGGTCAGGGCTCAAACGGGGGTTGGTTGCAATTGGACTTTTAGCAATTACATTGTAAAAACCAATCCAATTTTATCATACATATTATTATTTTTAATATTTATTCTTAATATTATTTCTTCTTTATAACATCATTATTTGGTTAGTATATGAACATACTTTATTATTTTTTCGTTCTTTACTTACTGCACTCTGTAACTTGATTAATAGAACTTCGAAACAATATTGTATATTAAAAAAAAAAAAACGTATTGTAGGTTTAAAAAAAAAAACAATTTTAGTAACGTAGACTGAAAAAAACATGGTTTCGATAAATTTATAATATTATCTATATACTGATTTTCCAAATACTATTAATTTAAATCGAGACTGTTACAAAAAATACATGATTTATTTGGGTTTTCATATTGCAATACAATTCATAAATACTTTACAATGCTTTGACCAATACAAAAAACGTGTGACAATATATTTGAAAAATATTTAAAGACACTATAAAGCAAAACAAATATAGATACTATATTGCAAACAAATGTATTTGGAATTTTGTATCTAATAACAATGCCTGAGATGCAATGATTGATTATTTACAGAATTTACAGAAGTAATATTGCGGAATCGATAGAAAAATATGAGTATATATACAGGTATATATATATATATATATATATATATTGACATTGATAAAGAAAATTCATTTAAATTATTCTCAATCTAATACTCTCAAACCTAATGCATTTATCGTGTCAATTGAGTATCTAGCAATTACGTGTTCCAATGCGGCGTGTCATAGGTATGATAGTTTGTCAAA